TGGGTGAATCATGAAGGAAAGAAACAACTTTGGAGTCATTTGCCTTTTATGGAAAGGCTAGCCAGGACTACAAAGACAGCAGATCATAGAAAATATGAAGCCAGCCCTAAGGTATTGGTATAGAAGGGTATATGGCAACTGGAAGGATAAGTGGATATATAGGAGTGAGGAAGAAATAAATGAAATTATATAAAAGTATATAGAGGGTGAGTTAAACCTTCGCTGGTAAACATCTGGTTCCCACAGATGTGGTCTTTGGCGCGAGACAGATTTCACAAAATTCTGAGATCATGCCCTTAAGCAACAACCGAAATGAACTCCAAGCTGCGGAAGTGATACACAGAAATAGATACTGATGTTCTTTGTTATTGTCTCTTGCACTACACAGAAATAGATACTGATGTACTTTGTTATTGTTTTTTGCTGACTCTTAGTAATTGTAAAAGTTAAAAGTCTGATGTAACCCCCTGCCAAGTTCCTTGATTGTAAAAGAATATAAGCACTGATTTTGCAGAAGTAAATCTGCAGCAGCACATCAACACATTGTGTGTCTGTCTGTCATTTTCCTCGCCGATTCCTGACTTCTCCTCAAGCCTTCTCCCTGGTTCTCCCGCAGTGGTGGTCTCCCTCTGGGTGGTCTGCAGCAATGGTGGTCAAGGTCAACTGGGCCTTGGTCCTCACCTTAGGCACTATCCTGGTTTAGTTACTATTACTGTGATAAGCAGAATGACCAAAAGTACACTTAGGGAGGAAAGGGTCTATTAGGGTCACAGTCCATCATCAGGGCAAGTTAAGGCACGAACCTGGAGGAAGGTGGTTGTTCGCCATTCTAATGTGAGTGCTGGAAACCAAACTCATGTCCTCTGCTAGAGCAGCAAGCCCTAACCGTGAAGCCATTTTTCCAGGTTTTTTTTTTTTTTTTTTTTGAGATATACTATATAGCCCAGGAGGGCCTTTTATCTCGCCCTACCCCAGCCTTCAAAGAAGAGGTTTACAGGAATGCCACACCACACCTAGCTCCCACTATGCCAAGTGGAGCTACTGACTCACGCTGCTTAGATCTGGATGCTAACTCCAGGACAGGCCTTCTTAAATTGCCACCCCTCAGCTGCATTCTGGGTGGTATTTCAAGCCCCACTCTGTGCAAGGGCTGTGTGGCCTAGGCCAGCTGTAGTTCTCCAAGTCAAGCTTTGAGAGTTCAGGCCCCGAGGTGAGCAGCGTTCCCTGTGGAAACAGCTTAACAACTTTACTGTTGACTGACTGTATGACCATCATAGACTGCAGCCCCTGCAGGTCCCCCCACTCCTCTTAATACCCACCTCTAGTCCTCAGCTTCCACACCAGCTCTCTACTTTCTGCCACTTACCTCTTGACCACCCCCGACACTGGATTCCATGGTTCCATGAGTCCCTCCAGCCACCATCACACTGACTCACAGGCGCCAACCTTGAGGAACACTTGGGTATCACTCCACTGACACCTTCAGCTGTTCCCCTCCTTAACTAACATGGTGTGATTGAGCCTCCCAGGACCTCCAAAATTCCACCTCCATTTCACCTAGTCTCACTCACTTTCCCCTAGTATCAGCTGGGAAGTGTACAGTCAGCTAATGGTATCCAGAGGAGGAAGTAGTGGCCTCCAGGCCCGTGAAACTCACCATTGTCCTCCCCACTGAGAGTGACCTTCTTTGGCATCTATGAGAGAAATTCACAAAGACACCAAAGTCTTGGGTGCTAAAGTTCCCTCTACACCTCGCCCAGGATCTGTAGGCAACCTGCCCACACCTTCTCAGAGACCTTGACCCATCTCTACACCCAGGATGTCTGACCCAGCAAAAGTGCTATGTGCACAGCTGTCGGCAGCTGTAAGTTTGCTGCCTTAATTTTAAATA